TTCTTAACAATATTCCTCAAAATAGTTATTTTCCATTATAACATTAGCCCTACATAGTAGAAAAGTTTTCTGAATGATAGGTAGAAAATCTTTGGCCTCTGACTTTAGGTTAAGTTTCTGTTGTGAATTGTCATCAGCTTTTTTTATACCCTTCTTTGCTTTTACTTAATCAGAGAAGCATGGTTGCTTGTGCACCTTTGGGAACAAAGTTTCCTACAGAAAAATGTAAGGGACAGAAACTTTTCCTTATACATTGTAACAGTCATGGGTGGTGGTTATGGTAGACATGGATCCTGTTAGTGAATGCTGGTTTCTCCCATGTGTATTTGTTTTTCATAGGGTGCTTTGCCCATCCACATTCCAGTCCCTATAATGATACTTCTGTTTATTGTTGTTATCACCAGTAACAGCAACTATAATCTGGCTCACAATTCCCAGGAGCCAGCTCACTCCTTAGTTACCAAGAGAAAACCTAAACCACTTGTTCTTTTATCTGTTCAAAACCCCAGTCATCTCAAATTACAGTGACCTTGACAGCATTTTGAGACTACATAACTAGAACAGATAATAGAGCTATGTCTGAGTTTAGAAGCTGTAAGACAAAAATTCCTTCTCTCCCTGGTAGTTGAAGGCATGGTAACTGAGTAAATGAGAGTGATTACCAGGTATGTGTTTGTGTGTAGTAAAAAAGGAAAATAAGTAAATAAATCCAAACCCTTTGCCATTAAGTTGATTCCAACTCATAGTGGCCCTGTGTGTAAGAGTAGAACTCCACAGGGTTTTATTGGCTGCAAACTTTACAAAAGCAGATCATCCCCCTTTTGTCCTGTGGTGCCACTAGGGTAGGTTCAAATAATCAGTCTTTCATTCAGGAACGAGTCGCAGACCACTTGTACCACCCAGAAAGCTTTTGGGTACAGTGCCTGTTCCTAAATATTTCCAAGTGCTGTTTCACTTCTTATTCTGTTTTTCTTATAATATTTTTATTGGGCTGGAGATTGTGTGTTGGGAGCTGTGAGGAGAGGGCACTTAGGGGAGGGAACATGGGTTCTCTCACCCATCAGTTGGCAGGAAAGATCCTGGAGGTCTTGGGTAACTTGACAGTGATCATTATAACCAGTCAACGAATCTGCACTAGAAACCATATCTTCCCTGCTCAGTTGGTATGGAACATATGGGAAACTGAGACTTATTTTCCAGGGATTCTTAAAACAATCTTTCCAACATATTTTTTAAAAAACAAAAGAAAAAAATGTTACAAATTCACACAGATTGAAAGGAAATAGGTGAAATAGATAAAAATTGAAATTAGGGAATATTTTTAAAGAAATGTACTTTTATTTATGAGGTTCTTAGGTACATAGCTTTAAAGTCCACCCAGGTTAACATCCTGCTTTTGCCTCTTACTAGCTGTGTGACTTGGAGCTTTTTGTTTATCTTCCTATGCCTTATTTTTCCCTATAAATAAATGTAAAGTTAGGATGAATAGCATGCCTACCTCATAAAGGCAAACAACCTATAAACTCAAAAGAGTACTTTTAAAGCACTTAGCAAAGAGCCGGTGTACCAGGCACCCTCATGACTCTTGAACTTGGTGTTCTCTTTGCCTGGAAGTTCTTTTCCCAGATTACTCACTTCCTGACCTCATTCAGTTCTTTACTCAAACATTAGAATCAATAGCACTTCCCTGTCTGCCTTGTTGAAAATGTTTTCTCCTAGTAGTCAGTTGCATATAATATGATTTTTAATCTTTTTTATTGCTGTTGTCATACCTAATACATTATTTGCTTATTAATTTTTCCCCCTACTAACCTCAAGAAGTCCAGGAGTCTTTCGTTTGTTTTATTCACCATTTGAATTCCAGTGCCTAAAACAGGGCCTGACACAGAATAAGCAATTAATAGTAATATTTTCACCACATCAAAGATTTTGCTTCTGGGTATGGCTGTCATCTGTCTCTCTCCCAGCCTTCCTATAGAATCAAAGCTTCTTTTCAAATTTAAAATCCCTGACAAGAACAGAGTACCCAGTAAGCAAGATAAGTGTGGGCTTACTTGTGTTTACTTACTAATCTGTAGTGAATAGTTTCATGTGTTTTTCACCAGGTTTACTACAGATTACTAAATAAGCACAAGTAAGCCCAGGCCATAGCCCCTGATTATCTTGCTTATTAGGTAATCTACCACTGGTGTTTACTATAAACTAAATCTACTATATAGAGATCAAGAGAGCACTGCCACTGAGTCAGTTCTGACTCATAGCAATCCCCACTGGGTTTGTTGTTGTTGCTGCTGTGTGCCATTGAATGGACCCAACTCATAGCAACTCCTCCTTGGGTTTCTGAGGAGTGGCTGGTGGATTTGAACCGCCAGCTTTGTGGTTAGCAGTCAAGTGCCTTAGGCACTATGCTACCAGAGCTCCTACATACATAGATACTATAAATAGCATAGCAGTTAAAGGCATGGGCTTCAGAATCATCTGTGTTTGAATTCTGATTCTGTCCCTTCGTAGCTGAGTGACCTTGTGCTGGTAATCTTCCCTATGCCTCAGCTTTCTCAGCTATGGAAAAGAGGTAATGTTCATTCATGTAAACAATGCCTTTCTCATAGAACACAACAAAAGATTGTTAAGTGTTAGGTGCTTTCTAAGCACTTTATGTGAATTAACTTGTTTAATCATCATGACAGTTTTATGAAATAGGTACTATTATTATGTCCTTTACCAAAATGTTTTGAAATGCAGATAACTACTTCTTAATATGTTTATTTTATATAATTTAGGTTTTCTGAAAGTAAGATACCAAAAAAACCCAAACGCACTGCCCTGGAGTCAGAATCTGACTCATTGCAACCCCTCCTTGGGTTTCCGAGGCGGTATCTCTATGGCCAAGATTGGCTGACCTTCCTTTTGAGGAGTGGCTGATGGGTTTGAACTACCAGCCTTCTAGTTAGCAGTCAAATGCTTTAGGCACTATGCCACCAGAGCTCCTAAAGTAAGATACAGCTTTGCTAATTTTTTTGAATCGATAAGAAAGTTCTCAGAACATTTTTCTCTATTCTGTGAAAGTAAGATTAGGTTGAGCAGGTGAATCCAATCAATACTTTCTGTCCTGGATTCTGATGTTTCATTTGTATTTTAAAAACCTTTTTTTTTTTTTTTTAATTTGCTTTCCTGCTTCCACATTTCTTTATAGCAAATGGTCTTTCATTGAAGATAATTGGAGTTTTAAACCACAGTGAAAATGTCATCTACTCTATGGGTAAAATAATTTAAAAGATTAAATTGAAGTATTCTATTAAATATAATTAACCTGACATCTTCCTTTTTCAGACACTGAAGTAAAAAAATAATAGCAGAATACTTTGATATTGTGAGTTCCGTAGGCTTCACTTTTGTGGCAAAATTGAATTTTAGCCTAGAGGTATTAGAGACAACTTTGTGGCAACAAGTTTTCACCAAAGTACACTAAAATTCACAAGAACTGTCAAGATCAAGAAACTCATTTAGACTATATAATATTCAATTGGGGCATTTTATGTACAAGTGCATGATTCTGCCATGAAAGTCCATGTGTTTCAAGATGAGTTATTTGAAGAAAGTCCTGAGAGAGAAGAATGATAAAGAAAATAGATCTTATAAAGAAAAGTGCAAGTTGTAGTGGTAGCTTAGCTTATATTTTCAAGAAGGAAAATATTGATTCAGTTGTACCCCATGTCAGAGAAGAACTGAAGAGAAATGGAATTTAAATTAAAGCAGAAGATATAGTCATAAATAAACCCAGGTTTCAAAAATTATTGAATATTAAAAATGTCTATGGAAAGATTAAAAACTCTCAGAAGAGAATAGACAGTTGAGGCTAGTGGTTCTCAAACTTGTCTACATAAAAATCTCCTGGGCACAATAGTTAAAAATGCAGATTCTTTAAAAGTCCCAGCAAAAATTCTGATCCAGTGGGTCTTTGGTGAGACCTAAGAATTTGCATTCCTGTCAGATACTTCCATGTGATTTTAATGAAGATAGCTCTTGAAACAATGTTGAAAAACTTTAAATTTAATCAGTAGCCTATCGCAGTGTAGAGGGCTAAACCAGGTAATCTCATGTGGTTCATACCAACTCTTTGATTCTATGTACATGTGTATGTGCATGTATTTCTCTGTCACTTCAGGTGAATTCTAATGTGTTGTAAAGGCACCTGGTTTTTGAAGAGTGTCAGGACAGGTTACGCTGTTTAGTGCTCATCACTATACTTACTAAAAGAAGTCATATGTTAAACATATCCCACTTCTACTGTCAGTGAGTTGATTCTGCCTCATAGTCACCCTTTAGGACAGAGCAGAACTGCCCCATAGGGTTTCCAAGGTTGTAAATCTTTATGGAAACAGAGTGCCTCACCTTTATCCTGTGGAGTGACTGGTGGGTTTGAACTGCTGACATTTTGGTTAGCAACCAAATGCCTTAACCACTAGGCCACCAGAGCTCCTTTTTAAACCACGAAGAAGAATGAAAATTTTTGCATGTATTTTTAGTCTGTGTATAATACATATCTTAATCTTCTAATAAATTTGACCTTAAAACTACAGATCCATTTTTGGTGTCTGTTTGTTTTTTTGATGTCTCAAATTTTTGGCAATTGAACAAGGAATATTGAACAAGGAGAAATCATAATCTTCTAATAAATTTGACCTTAAAACTACAGATCCATTTTTGGTGTCTGTTTGTTTTTTTGATGTCTCAAATTTTTGGCAATTGAACAAGGAGAAATCAAATTATGGGTTATAGCTTTAATCTGAGATGTAGTAAAGCATCTTCAGGCAGTGTTTGGTACCCTCTTGTCATACAGGATTATAAGAGAGTAAATTACTAAATAAGTATTTGTATTTCAGATGTGTTGACATTTACTCCTGAAGACAAGCGAACTCTTAAGTTTATCAGAGTTAACATCTGTTTGTTGTGTTCTTTAGGTATCTTCTTTAATTCTGTTGCTGTGTTTTCTTTTCCAGGATGGAGCTATGACATTGAAGAGAGAAAGGTTCCGAAACCCAAGTCCAAATCTTATGGTGCAAACTTTTCTTGGAACAAAAGAACAAGGGTATCCACAAAATAGGTTAGCACTGACTGTGTATCTGTACTTGACTGTGAATAAAGTCAGCTGTGCAGTATTTATAGTCCGTGTATAATACATCTCTTAATCTCCTAATAAATTTGACCTTTAAACTACAGATACATTTTTGGTGTCTAAAATGTTTTTTTAATGTCTCAAATTGAATGAACATGTTAAAAATTTCTTGCATATAGTGTAGATGTGAGGTGCTCATACTGCTAGGAAATTTTGGTACTTAGAATCTATTAAAAGGAATGCTTGAAATAGTATTTATAAATTGCCAGCCAACATTATGAAAATACTATCTTGAAATTCTTTTGTTTTACTAGAAGTAGAGAAGTACATGATAACATTATAATCTGATAAACCTTTTTGTTTAATTAGAACTTTATATTCTCTAAGGTACTTTGGATCTGAATGAATTGTGTTCCATACTAACTTCAATCCACACATCAACACTTCATGATGGTGAGGCGTTGAGGTGAATATTTTATATTATGAAACTGAAGAGACTTAGAATGAAAATTCATTCATTGATGGGGATTTTTGGTGTTAATGTTGTTTTCTGGAAATATAAGTAGTTATATGCTTTTGTTTGTTAGTCAACAGATCATACTGTATGAGTATATACTTATGTGAGACTCTTCAGTTAACACTTTATATACTAATTCGTACAGTAACCCTATTAGGTAGGCACCATGATTATTTTCTCTATTTTAAAAATATGTAAATCAAGGCTAGAGGAATTAAATAACTTGGTCAGGATCACAGAGCTCCTCAATGCCAGAGTTGGGACTTGAACCTAAGTCTCTGTCTTCAAAGTCTATACTCTTAATCATTTTAATGATAACGAAATAGAGTTGATTAATGGCATATGATTTCTTGGCTTGCTGATGTGTTCAGTGATGTTTCAAAAAATCATAAATATACATTTCTCATATATGCATTTCCTGAAAATACTAATAGTACTGCAGTGTAGTAAATTACCTGGTATGGCTTTTCTAGCCATAAGTCTTTGTAAACTCCATGGTGGAATTTGCCATGAGCAACTGAGGAGCTCCTGATTGTAAAAGTTATCCACCTGGGATACTTCTGTTTTGAGTGGCATGAAGCAGTGTTCTGGAAAATTGGCTTTCTCTCAGGTATTTAGAATTTTGATTTTAGGATTGGTTAGTTGGCCACTCTGCCAGACTCAGAAGGAGCCCTCCTAGAGCCAGAAAAAGTCTTCTCTGACTGCTGGCTGAGAAAGCTGTACTGCTGAGAGAAACACGCTCCTGAGAGATATACACTACTGAGAAAGAGACACCGAAAGATGCATTGCTAAAAGAGAGATACTGAGAGACATGAACTGCTAGGAGAGAGACTGAGAGAGACTGTTGGCTGAGAGATAGCGAACTGAGAGAGACTGAGCGTTGTTCCTGAATTTGAATAGTAGCCTGGTGTTTCCCTAATAAACTCCACAATCTGTGAGTTCTGTGTGGCCACTGCAGCGAATTATCAAACCCAGCAGAGAGGTAGTGGGTGCTGTAGGAGGAACGGTTGATGCCAGGGTTGGTGAAAGGGCTGGAGGGAAGTGGCATGTCTGGCCTAGCAGGGATAGGCCGTGGGCTACTGATGGTGATTCTGTCTTCCTCTTATGGGGCTAGAGGAGGTCAGAAGATGCAGCCTCCCTGCCCCTTTGGCAAGTACATTAATCTAACCCAATTCAAAATTAAAGAAAATACATCAGAGTATAAACTTGTACAATCTTGTTTTGGAGAGTGTATAAGCAATATATTTCAAAATGTTAATTGTAAATTCCATTTAAATCTAAAAACTCCCCTTCTAGGCAAAGAAAAACCAAAAAAAAAAAAAAAAAAACACACTGCCCTGAAGTCAATTCCTACTCATAGCAACTCCTCCTTGAGTTTCCAAGGCGGTATCTCTACAGAAGTAGATTGCCCAGTTGTCCTTCCAAGGAGTGGCTGGTGGGTTTGAACCGCCAGCCTGTGGTTAGCAGTCAGATGCCTTAGGCACTATGCCCACCAGAGCTCCCTCTAGGCAAATAGTCAATGGATATACATAAATGAATAAACGTATTCATTACAGAATTATTTCTAATAGCTATTTAGTTGAAACAATATAAAGGTTTATTAAAATAGGAACAGATAAATAATGTATTATACAGCTATTAAAAAAGAAGTATGTGTACAAATTGATTTGGAATGATGTTCAGGATATAGTAAAAAGTGAAAAGAAGGCAAGAATTAATAGATAGTATCTGGGGAGCGGGGGTAGCTCTGGTGGCACTCCTCAGAAGGAAGATTAGACAATCTGCTTCCGTAGAGATACAGCCTCAGAAACCCCTCAGAAGGGTCACTGTGAGTCGAATTGACTCAATGGCAGTGAGTGGATCAGGGGGTAGGGGTGTATATATATACCTGGAATGTTTTGGGAAAGACATATAAGAATCTGTTAACAATGATTGTACTGTTTATCACTGACTGGGAAGCAGGGAAAGATACTTTATTTATTTATATTTTTATTTGAGCTTTTTTGTTTTAAACCAAAAACCAAACTCTTCAAAAAGTGATTTAGCATTCCATTTTAACATTGGTTTTTAATATAAAATATAACACTCATTTTTATTTTTGTTACGCTAATAGAACACATACATTAATTTAAAAATTCAGTATTGTTATTGTTGTTCTTTTTCTTTTTCTTTGTAGTATCTAAAAAATACCAAACTTGCTGCCATTGAGTCAGATCCGACTCATAGTGACCCCTCCTTGAGTTTCTGAAGCAGTATCACTACGGAAGTAGATTGCCCAACCTTCCTTCCAAGGAGTGGCTGGGGGGTTGATCTGCCAGCCTTCTGGTTAGCAGTCAAATGCCTTAGGCACTATGCCACCAGAGCTCCCTTGTAATATCTGGTACTTAATTATATATTAACAAGTCAATGCCCCACTGCTTCTGAGTTGTTTCCATTTCTCTCATTTTTCTATAGAAGTTGTAGATGCAGTGGCTTTTATGTTTACATTTAGTATAATTTATAACTTGATTTATTTCTATACTACTAGCATAAAGGGGCCCTTTTGAGGTTTTTGAATAGATTTCTTTCCCCTCTGGATATTTGAAGGTAAGTATGACAGACCCAAGAAGAAAGAAAATAATCTAAGAGACTCATTTTTATAATCTCTGATTAATGCTAAGGAATCCTCTGTTGTGAACTTTCTAATCATAAAACAGGAGTCCTGGTAGTGCATTGGTTAAATACTTGCTGCTAACCAAAAGGTAGATGGTTTGAACCCATCAGCCACTCCACAGGAAGATGAGGTGGTCTGCTTCTGTAAAGATTTACAGCCTTGGAAACCCTATGGGACAGCTCTACTCTGTCCTGTAGGGGCACTATGAGTCAGTACTGACTCGATGACAATGGGTTAGAGTATGTGAAAAGGTTGAGTTATACTACTTGGCTTTGAATTCTGCTTCAGATACCCACTAGCTAAGAGATCCTTGTCAAGATAATAAAATTTCTTTAATACTCACAAATGGATCAAAAAGCAGCATCATGGTAAATGCTGAAAAGACTGAAGTTGCCAGGGATTTCATTTTACTTGGATCCACAGTCAATACTCATGGAAGCAGCAGTCAAGAAAGCAGACAACATATTGCCCTGGGCACATCTGCAAAAGTTCTCTTAAAGTGTTAAATTGCAAAGATGTCACTTTGAAGACTAAGGTGTGCCTCACCAAAGCCGTAGCATTTTCAATCCCCTCTTATGTATATGAAAGCTGGTCAAAGAAAAAGGAAGACCAAAGTAGAGTTGATGTTTTTCAATTGTAGTATCGATGGAGAGAAGACTGGATGATCTACTTCCTTAGTGATACCACCTCAGCAAGGGGGTTGCTGTGAGTTGGGATCAACTTGATGGCAGTAAGTTCGTTTTTTTTGGTTTATTGATGATGAATACTGAAAATTTCATGGACTGCCAGAGGAGTGAACAAAATAGTACTGGAAGAAGTGCAGCCTGAGTGCTCCTTGGAAGTGAGAATGGCCAGACTTCGTCTTGCCTACTTTGGTCATCTGGTCAGAAGGGACCATTTCCTGGAGAAGTACATCATGCTTGGTGAAGTACAGGGCTTGGGATAAAGGGAAAGACTCACCAAGATGGATTGACACTGGCTGCAATGATAGGCTCACGTATAGCAAGGACTGTGAAGATGGCACAAAACCAGGCCGTGTTTTGTTCTGTTGCACATAGGGTCACTGTGAGTCACAGTTGACTCAACGGCACCTAACAACACCTAATGAAGTTGGTGAAGAATAAATGCTGTAACCTAAGTGAGATGCTTAACAGTACCAAGCCCATGGTTTTTCTTCCTTTACTTTCCTTTGCCCAAACAACCAATTACTGAATTATTTATTCAGCATATATGGTGCTGTGTATAAGATACTGTGATAGTTAAGGATTTGTGTCAGCTTGGCTGGGCCTGGTTGAGTGGCTGGGCAGCTGGTGGTAGTTATTCCCTATGATGAGACTGGCAATCAGTTCCATGGTGGGATCTACCACAAGCAGCTAAGTAGCTGCTTTAGGGATATGTTCTGCTTCCCGTACATAAGAAGTAGCTTTGGGAATGTTCTCTAGTTTTATGGCACGTTTGAACCCTGCATTTAGTTGAGTCATTGTTTAACAGCTTGCCATGCTCTGCCGATCTTGGGACTTTCAGTGGACTTAAATTAGTGGCCTGCCGTGTTGTTTGGTAACATTGGGACTGTGCCTTTTTATTTGTAAACCTTGGGTTTGTCAGCCTCAGCAGCCAGCAGCTGTCTGAGTGAAAAAAAGCCTCTAGCTTCAGTGGGCCAGGAACAGGAGACAGAGCTGAAGCCCAAGGTTGAGGGGCTTTCACCCAGCCCCGAGAGCCTGACACTTTGAATTCGGACTTAAAGCCTCCAAACTGTAAAAGAATAAACTCCTATTTGTTAAAGCCACCCTATTTGTGGTATGTTCCTGTCAGAGCGGCACTAGGTAACCAGAAAAGACACTATGCAGTAAGTACATTGTGTCATAGTTCAGTCTCTTTTAGGAAGACATCTGTAGCACTACAGGCTTGTGTAGCTGGTCTTACAGAACTTACT